TGACAGCAATGTATTGGGCTCTAGGGCAGCCTTTCAGAAAAGGTTTTGGAAGTCAAGTAACCAAATCATTTAAAGTAGATTAGAACGATACACTAGAAAAGTGGAAAGACTTCTTGTATTTCAAGAGTAAATTTAGTGTTTCATGTACTTGATTAGTGCAAACAGTATGTTTAAAACGGTTGGAATTATAAACATGTGTGGTCTGTGTATTTAAATTACACACAGTTGACCTTTCTTCTTTGGTTTGTGTACCAGCAGGAGGAAACAGATGATTTGTTTCAGAGTATGTACATTCCACATACACACAGTCTGGGATAAGGCACATGCTACTACTATTTTTTTGTGTGGTTTTGCTTTCTTTTTTTCACTTTCTTGCACTACACTTCTGATTTTTCTGGTCTGTGCTGTTCAGTTAGGGGAATTTCAGAGTCATTAAATAATCTCTCTTTGATCTCACAGTATCTTTAACTCAGCTGACACTCCCCAGTAACCCAGGTTATCTCTGGCAGGCTCCTTAGGGATGGGCTTTAGAGTGTTATTGAAATCACTCCTGTGTCCTGAAAACCTTGGGTACACCCTCCACCCCCTCTTTCCCTGCTACTGATGAGGACTGATTCTGTCAGCTTTTTTGAGGGATGTGGTGGAAAAAGCAGCAAATGAGCACCATAGTGACAAGCTGCAGTCATCTAGTGCAAGCAGATGCAGTAGCAATAACCACTGCAATAAAGCAGCGTGCACTTAGATCAGACCTAATCTGGGGCCTGGGAGTGATTCCACACATACATGATGCTTTCAGTTTTTTTCTGCTTTCAGGTGGATGGAAAGGGTCCTGTGTGTTTTAAGGTGAACAACTTGTTTCCACTGGGGTAATCACCGGAGCTCTTCACATTACACGAAGGAGATTCAACCCCCACTTCTCTCCAGGATTTTCCTGCCATCTGTAGGAGGAGAAGGCAGGCATTAAGATGAGAAGTTATTTCAGCCTCTAACAGTGTAATGAAGACTCTCAGAAACTCTGGTGGGGTGGGTAGGGTGTAATGGCTGGCAATTTCTGGGTACAGTGTAAAATCTGTGGTTGCAGTGTGGAGGTTGACATGCACAGATGGAGACTGATGTAGACTCTTGAGTGTTTTGGGGGAAGGAACACCAGTTCTGTGAGAATTATTATTATTGTGTAGCACTCAGGGGCAGTGGTCTAAGCAAAGTGCTGGAAAGAAGCATCTTGACATTTCAGTGGCTTACAAGTGGGAAAACTGATTCACTTGTAGCAATTGATTTTCTGTGAGAATTTGATAGCACTGATGAAGGGGTATTATTATTCCTGCTATAATATCTTCCCAGTTCTGTTTTCTGTGAGATATTTTATGGGCCCTCTTCACTGGTGAGACAAACTGTAAAAGTCATTCCATGTAAAAATGATACAGCGTCCTATAAAATAAAAATTACATTTGAGAAGGAGGAATCCATATGTAATAAACAGAATAAGGAGGAAAGATACAGACAGAAGAAGGCAGGCTTATCTTTTGTATAAGAACAACAGAACATATTTAGGAAACAGGAAACAGAATAACATTATTTAGGTCTGAGCTTCTCTAAAGAAGTCTTTGTATTCCTATAAACAGAAAGAAGCTGCTGATAGGTGCTTGTGAGAAACGATGCTCACTTTTAAAAATTTCAAAGGTTTATTAAACCTTAACAAAACACAACAAAGGCCTGAATCAGGAAAAACTACAGTGCTGGGAGTATCTGTGACGAGCAGCTATATGCTTGCTCACAAAATGGCTGCTCTACATTTTATTGCATCAGGTCACCTTGGCCCCGCCCAAAGCCTGTCAGTCAACATCTTCTTCACCGCTCATTGGTAGAGGCTGCTTTCTGGCAATGTGATTGGAGAGCAGGTGCTGCCATGCCACGCCCCCTATCGACAGGCCTGCTCTTGCACAGGCCTCCCTCAACATGTCCCCACCAACTAAAGCCCTGCAGAGTCAGCAATACAGGGCGAACAGAGAATATCCAAACAACAAACCACAGTAACATGACTATACATCAACAAAACTTCTCATAATGTACACAAAATAACCATCCCGTAATTGTGAGAGCCAACCATCACACGACTTACCTTAACAGTGCTTAAATTCAGTGCTTGTTTTCCTGATCTTTACTTCAGCCGAACCCAGATGACTGTCCATAGGAAAGCCTGCCTTCTTTTCTTTGGAATTAGAGAAGGATCAATCTATGTGTGCAGTGTGTGTGTGTGTGTGTGTACTACTTTGTATGAGAATGAATTCTTGTGGTGCTATGGTAATGGGTATGATACCCACCTAAGGTTTTACATTTTAAATGTCAATGATGAATTGTAAATAAGGGTTTACTGATGTGGACATTTACTTAACTATACATTTATACCAGAACAAAACTAAGAAAGTGGTTTCTTTTTCCCTTGCTTATGTTGTAGCAAAAGGCATTTCTGATTAGCAGCAATTTTTTTGTCTAGAAGCTGACTTCCTTTTCAGGCTTTCCTGTGGTTTTCCACAGGGAAATATCAGCCAGCTGAATTTCTGGTGGTAAATTTGTACTGCCATTTGAGCTTGCGACTCGAAGTGACCAAGTTGTGTCCCTTAAGAACTCTGCTGCTATGCCAGTTTCTCCTTCTTCTCCATGTTTCATAACCATCACAAGCTTCATCTTGAGCTGTGTCAGAAAGCAGAGGTCATTATTTGAATCAGGATGTTCCTGGTTCAAAATAGAAGTGTACTATTTATATCCTAACATGTTTACCATCTGACAGCTTCCTATGCTCTCACAGGAATGAATCAAAGACGATGGTTTAATTCCTGTTGCAGTTATCTGTAGCACTGAAGTTGCTCTTCAGTTGAGTACCTCAGCAGGAACAGCAAGGATTGACTGCTGCTTGTTTTTCAGCCAGCTTTCTTTCCTCCAGGAGCTGAGTCCCATGATTCAAAAGTTGATTTCAAGCTTCCATTGGTTTTGGAGGATATAGTGTCAAATTGCAGGATGATGCTTACAGCTAAGAACTGAGGCAATATTTTATTTTAGTTCTTTACTTGACCTCATAAGCCTTGCTGTTAGTTAATGCCTTTCTGTACTTTATGCTTCCAAGACTCTCACCTCCTTCTAGGTTTGGTTTCTGAAATACATCAGCTGAATGTAACTGGCTTTGTAGGTTGGGCTTTGTTTGTTTCTTTGCATGAATTCTCTCCAGAAACAGTGATCAGTGATCCTATCTTTATTTACGTCTACAGGAAAATACCACTCCAAGAAAAGGGTGAAGAGACATAAATGACCCATTTGCTGTTATAACGAAGTATAGATAGATTTAATTTTCACCAGAAATTGTGACTGGAAAGTGAGCCTGCTTCTGAGAGTCCTCTGTTTCCTTTGCTTCCTTTCGTTTCACTGCAGATTTTTGTTTTGTTTTTCAAGTTCTGCATAAATATTCACCGTGGGTTTCCTTCCCTCTTATTACCAGTCAGCCCACTGATCAGACACCAGGGTTGCAGTCTCGCTAAGCTTGTGTATTGTGTTGGAATCAGAAATCAAATAGCTGAAAATTAATGTAATGTGCTTTTAAGTGTTGTGATGTTTAGTGGGCAGACATACATCATGAAGATTTTTCTTGTCTAAAATTTGTTATGAAGATGAATCATTCTTTGGGGAAAGGTTATAGTCATGTTGTAAATCACATTCTAAATCTGAAAAAAAAAAAGATCCAGCAGTGATAAATAAGTACCATCTGGAATCTGAACTGTATAATTGTATTATGATTTGTCATCCACGTAAAATAAGCCCTTGAGATTGTTTAAGTTGAAGGCACAGTCACAGAGCTATCCGAATCTGTTAACTTCTTTAAGTACTGAAGTGAAATTAATTACAGCAGTATGTTCCATGTGAGGTGGAAAGACTCCTAGAACCAAGATGATGGAATTCCTTGCAGCACAGCTGTATGGGAGTAGGTATTTGGAGAGGCTGTATAGTAAATTTTACCTTGTTTTAAAAAACAGGGATCACTTTAATTATTTGACAGGTGATAATGAATTGTCATTAAAAAAAGCCCAAAAAATGCCTTTTGTGATTTAATTTTGGTTGATGTATCTCCAAGATGAAGCAGTGGATGCAGATGAGTTCTGTATGAGTTTGTCTAGCTTTGAGAAACATGCACTGCTGGAAATTAACCTTTTCTATGACTTGAAGAAAAGAAACAGGGATTGCTGAGAAAAATATGGGAAGAAAACAAGAGAAGAAAGACAGCTAAGAAATGGGAAAGCAGTGAAGAAAGCAAAGTGCCTTTTGAAATAACTACTCTGAATCAACATCACATACATTTCTGCTTCTGCCAGCTGCCCACTCATTTTCTCTTTTAATAGAAAGAGTCGTCATGGTTCTGAAACAAGTAGTGTAGGGAGCCATGGATTTTCTTAGGAAGTGAGTTTCCTATCTTAGTGGGTTTGTGCTTGCAAGACTGCCTTAGTAATGGATTTGATCTCTTTATGGTGTATATAACACATCAAATGGTAGAAACAGTGCTTTGTTTTTCCAAAGACACTCCTCCAGTATAGAAGCAAAACTTGAGGAATGCTTTTGTTGTTTCCTTTCTGAATGATTCAGTAATAAAACGTTGTTCCTTGAAAACTCTTTTACTGACATTCATTTAGTCTCTGAATGTTTTTGTGAGGGAGGCATTAATACAATGCATGTTTTGTAGACATAAATCTGGAATAGTAAGTGATTTGTCCCATGTCTCTCAACAAGCCCTTGAGTACAAACTTGGGTAGAACCTTAACAAACCTGGCCTGTGTTTTGTGCTCCTTGCTCAAAGCCACACTGTCCACAAGCTGAGGTGTGTCTAGGGAGAGACAGACACACAGGAGACTTGCAAGACTTGCAAAGTTCATTTTTTCTCTGAAAAACTACCTGGGTGACTAAAATCAAAGAGGTGTTTGTTTTACTGACTTCTGTTATTTCTGTTCCTTTCCTTGTAGCTGGTGCTGCCAGAGTACTCCATCCACAGTCTTTTCTGCATAATGTTTTTATGTGCTCAGGAGTGGCTCACACTGGGGTTAAATGTTCCTTTGCTTTTATATCACTTCTGGAGGTAAGCCCTTCTTTTATATGCTGACTGCTTGTTAGCCTTGCTTGCCAGCTCAGCACACGTGCAGATTGTGTGAACAGGCAAGGACAGTGTAGATGAGTATCTCTTGCCTATAAGCAGCTGAAACTTATATTTCCAGAGAAAAAGGAAACTTTTTCATGATTTAGAATGGCTAAGGAAGATATATGATAATACAACTGTGGCTTTCAGTTACTTGGATGAATATTCTGGAGGGTGTCAGGATGCACTCACTGCAAATGAGTGAAAACGTGGAAGTGAAATAGGCTGGAATCTGAACGTGGTACTTGGTGAGGCTCTAAATACTTCACAGATGGGGAATTGTAAGACAGTTCATATCTGAAAGAGCTTGGACCTCTTCATTCAGCCCTAGCAAGGAAACCTTTCCATTGTAGTTGTGAAATAGAGACTGGGAAGGATGACAGATTTTTGTGTCTCATATTCTTTGGCAGCTTTTTTTTTTTTCAGTGTAAAGTAAGTTGGTTTTGTACAGTAGGGAATTTCTGTTCTGCAAGAGAGTTCTCTTTTAAAGACTTGTGGAGTAGGGATTGCAATCGATGAAGAACTGTTTCTTCACACTGCCCATATGAAGAAGTGGGGAGTGTTCCCACTTGAGATCTCTGAACTGTGTTTATGTTCTCCAAGTGGCTTCCAGAATTGATCACATAAGACCTGCTGTTGATTTCCAGACAGGCAGTGCAGTTGCTGCTGCTGCTGCATCTTCCTCTGCATTTTAGTGGAGGATCAGCCTTCTGTCGCTTCTGAAAATAACCAAGAGACATCAGTTTTTGTGGTTGTCAGTCTGGAGACTTCCCTAGTTTTGCATTTTCACAATGTTTGTAAAAGCACAGATGATTTTTGTCTGTCAGGGTCTCTTTGTGTTACAAAGGTACATATGGTAGCAGAAGAATAATTCTGTAAAGAAGTCAAAATCATCATCTCAACCAGGAACTTAAAAGCAGTAGCTTTTTTACACTTTTTTTCTGCAAAAGCTTGGTAGTAACGCAGAGTCATATGATAAAGTGTATTATTCAGAAATTAGAATGTCAGTATAGTTTTCAGAAAGCTAAATGAAATGAAGCTACAAGTGCTTTTCTCCATGTTGTTCTGCTGCAATAACAGGTCAACAACCCTTCGTGTGACCATGATACCCATTTTAAAAAATTTCTAAAAACAAATACATTCAAGAGGAAAATGGTCAGATTCTAAGTAATGATATCAACCTTTGGAGAGGACTTTTGATTCCTTTTTTTTCTATGATTCTTCATATGCTTTGCTATAAGTACTCCATAACTACTCCTGCTATAACCACAGGCAGGTTTGGGTTAATGGTGTAAAATTCTGCAAAGAATTTTAAAAGTGGAAGACACTGTGTAATATCATCATCCAGATGAAAAGAATTAAGCAGGATTTCACCTGTGGCTCTCCATAAAAGAATTTGCAATCTTATTAAAGGTTGTAAATGGATGTAATTAACATTGGAAGGGAGAAAGGCAAAGTTATTTTGAGAACATCTCCTTTCAAAGTTTGCTGCTGGTCACTTGCTTGGTGCTTTTATATCTTCCTCTCTGTCTGTCTATCCATATATAAGCAATCAGCAATCTTCTGATGACTTTGTCAAAGCAGAAGAAATAACAATATTTCCTCTGATCTGTGCTGATCTTAGAGTAGTTCATTAACTTTGTTGAGGACTTCTTTTTTTTTGTTGTTTTTCTTTTGCTTTTTACTGGAAACTAACTGAGACAAAAGCTCCTTTGTCAAAGAAGTTCTTTTGTCAGGATTTTCTCAAACATTCAGTCACTGCTGAGAATAATTAGAAATTTCTCTTATGTTAGAAGAAAAGTATTTTCTGAAGAAAGTTATTTGGATGATAAATTCTTGAGCAGTGCCACATGCAGAAAACATTGGTCAGCCACTCCTTACGTTACTTCATATTGGCTTTTTTCCTTTTCAGAGTTGGAGGAACTTAGCTACCAGTTGGTTGGGACTGTCACCTTTCATGTCTGAAATCAGTTGTGTAGGTGCAATAAAAGCCCGTTAATCCTTCCACCACTCTGTGATCACAAACCACCATATATTGTCACTCACAGCATGTAAGTCATTAGTGGATAAGCTAGAAATAACTCCATGGAAAGGGAAAATGTTTCAATCTGAAGAATCAATAGAATACAGAAAATCCACATTCATGAATTGCTTTGTTCTGTAAGAAAGGAGTGCTTAGACTAGCATCCTGATTTTTACAATGTCTGGAAACAGAGACTTGAGAAAGAAAGGGGAATTCCTCCTCTATTATGACAGGTGATAGTCAGGTGTGTATCTGCACATACTTAATACAGATTATTACAGAGCCATTCCAGGTGTCTTCTCCTGCTTTCAGGTATTTTCGTTGCCCAGCAGATAGCTCAGAGCTGGCATATGATCCACCTGCAGTCATGAATGCAGATACCTTGAGTTACTGCCAAAAAGAGGCCTGGTGCAAGCTGGCCTTCTACCTCCTTTCCTTCTTCTACTATCTCTACTGGTAAGTCTTGCTGTTTCACTAAGAGAATAGTAGCTGCTTTTCACTTCACTCGTGAAATTGCATTTAGGAATGGCTGGAACCAATTGGACAATTTCTTTAGTATCATAAAACATTGCTTCTGATGTTGATTAAGGGGAGCACTCCCACTGACTGCTGGCACTTCAGTATAGAATATTTAGTGTTTACCTAAGGCCTGAGCCAGGCCCCAGCACCAATCAAAGGAAATAACTTTTGCTTCTCTGTATGGTCTCTTAAGATGGGTAAAATAGTGAATGTTGTGTTAATGGCATTACATCAAATTAAAAGACTAAAGACTAAAGATTAAAATTCCTTATGATTTAAGAGGATCATAAGAAAAGTACTACACCTCTGGTGTAGTAATAGTCAAGATGGTAAATAAATGGATAGGTAGATGTTGGGTGGGAACATGGGATGCACCATGCCTGTAATCATTCCTACAGGCTCCCTTTTGCGACAGGGGAAAGCCTGTGCATGATCCAAATCCCTAATTAAAGTACATTCATGAAGATATGCAGACCAATTGGGCATTGTCCCCCTGCCCCTCTCAGTTGTCACATGTCCTCAGTGCACAAGCACAAATGCCCAGTGCAAATATATATCAGGATCATTTAAGGTAAGGCCTTGCCAGGATCTCAGTGCTTTTAGTCACCCCTGTAATCACACCATAAAACTACTGGACAACAAGCTCCAACACACTTTAAATGGAGGTGATGCTTTAGATGTCTTTCTTCTGCTCCTTCCTCCATGATGTATTTGCATAGAGATGCCTCTTCAAGCCAGTCTTGCATATAGTCATCCCACTGCAAGGCAGGTTTATGTGCTGCCGTTTTTCTCCTCTGATTACTGGTGTCTTACCTGTTCTGCTGTTCCCCATATCTTGAAGAGTCACTGCTGCATGGGTTTTTTTCCTCAATATTCCTTCTAAATGCTATTGAGGTTTGTGGAGAAAAGCATTTTCTAGCTCCACATTTTTATGTTGCGATCAAAGTCAGCTCTGTAGTATGATGTAGCATTTCTCCTGAGACTTTACTGCTGTACAGCTTCCTCTGAGCTCTTCATTCTAAAACGTGGCCACCATCCAAAATCCACTGCCTGGTGCTAGATAAAATAGTATAAATTACAGGCGGTTTTCCAATGCTTTCCTGGGTATTGGCAGAATTAGAATTGCAGCAAACTGGATCTGTGGCAATATACTCTGTTTTCCCTGCTTTTCAGAGTTGCATTTAATATGTATGGATTCAGTCCAGCTGGTGGCTGCATTTTATGTTTCTTCTAGTGCACAGAGTTTTTTTCCGAAGGAATCAAAAACAATGCAGTTTCATGGAAAACCTTGCCTGCCCTGCTGGGAGTTGCTGGTTGAAGTTTTAAAGATCAAACACACTAAAGCAAAATGGTTTTGTTTCTTTGCTGTTCAAATCCAGACATCAGACTGAGCTTTAAAAAGCTCAAACACAGCTTGTGGTGCAGTAGGATGTCGATAATGAATTTGTTATTTCTTGAGTGCCTTTTGATACTCATCTTGAATACACCATAATTAAGATGCTTGAGAGAGATAGAAAGAATGCACAAGAAAGCACAGGCCATTACAGTCAGACCTGAGGAACAGACAGCAAAGGGTTATAAAAATCAAAGCGCTCTGCATGCTTCAAAGAGATACTTTCATATTGTGTCTTTCTTTTACATGCAGCATGATCTACACTCTGGTGAGCTCTTAACTGAAAGATCTTCGCTAAAGACTGAAAACAACAAAGACAAGGTGCAAGGATGAGTGAACTAAAGGATGCATGATTAGAAAAAGCAAAGAGGAAAACTTTGAACCCAAGCAGTAAATATGGTACATGAAAGAGAGATCCAACAAAGAGAAGCAGAATACCATGGGAGAATGGCTGAGTTAATTGTGTTTGTCTCCTGTTTCTCAATCTATTGCAGCAAATTATTTTCAAAACCCAAGCAAACAAAAAAAATTGCAACATCGTGGGCCAAATTATACAGCTGTTCACCTCTCCAGGGATAATGCTGCTTGGTTTAGTGGATTCAGTAAAACTATAATGTCTATAGTCCCTCCTGTCTTCCAGGAAGCAACATTTCTTTTCTTAAGGACTATTCTGGACTGAGGAAGCACAGGACAAGATGATCTCACACAAGAAGAAGAGCTGTACAACACATTCTGAGCACTGAGTGGACTTCAGACAAGATGTGTGACTGTCCTGCAGGGCTATTCTCATGACACTGGTCAAACAGGGATGTCAAATCTCATGGAACTGCTTCAGTGGTTTTGGTTTGTTGTTTTTCTTTTCCCCAACCAAAACAACAATTACAGAAGAATTTTCAGTTTCAGTGTTCTGTACTCTAAGTATATGCTATTCCTGCAGGTGAACATCCAGTATATTTCTGTACTTCATTTGTGAAACACCAACACTGTACAGTGAGATGTAGAAATACACTGGGTTTAACTTAATCAGGCCAAGCCCTAATCAGAATAGTGTTCCTCTGACTGAAAAAAACCAAAAATAAACCAGGTAAAAGCTTAATATATTTAAAGAGGATTGTAACGTAGCTATTATATACATCACAATGCTGGATAGCAAATACTGGACCAGCTTATTGTGGTCTGTAACTCTGTTTTGCAGTTTTACTTTCTGCTGTAAAATTTAAGCTGGAACAAATACACAAAATGTCTTTGTCCTGTATGAGGTTCCTATTGAAAGATGTTCAGTTTTTTTATAATTTAAAGGTTTTTAAATTTTGTCACAGAATTCTCATTCAAATTCATTTTTATGGGCTGCATATCTTTATACATATGTATATACAAATATATATCTACGTAAATACTCACAATCTATTTACATTTTAGGTCGATCTCTTTGACAGGTCAAAGGCATCAAGCGTCCAGAATTGCTGCTAAATATATTTCAGTGCTGATCGGGGTGTACCCAGATTTATTTCTCTCAAAATCACTGGTGCTGTGGGTAGTAGCAAGGCTGTAAACTCAAAACTAACACCAGAGCCTTCACAGATACTGCTTGGATCTTGCATTGGCAAAGAGCTGATAAGGTGTGTTTCTACCAGAGATTGGCAGAGAACAGCGTGGAGAGGCCCATCTGTCCCCTGGTTGCTCACAGCTGGTCCTGTTAGCACGAGCTCACTGCTCACCACATTTGGTCTGGCTATTGAGAGCCAGTAGATTGATCCTGTACCAAGCTCTGAGGTGTTTTTAGGCTGGGCACAGCAGTTCAGCAGGAGAGATGCAGTCTCACAATGGCTGCTGAGTCATCCCATGTCTGGCGTTTTCCATAAGGGCCTGGAGTTGCTGTGTGCCTACAGTGCCAGGATTCGCTCTGGTTTGGTCTGGCTACATTAACAAAATTAAATCCTGTTAACCAGCAAAGCAAGATGGCTGCATGCTCACTCTCTGCTCCTGGACCATGCCAGCTCCCAAATCCTTGGCATTCCTTGGAATGGAGCTAGCTGGCCTGTGCAATCATTATACTAGGGTCATTCTAACAACATTTATATGAAGTTGTTTCAAGGGCTGACATTCTTTAATTTACAGTAGTTTAATTCTTTAATTTAGTTCTTACTGGATACATTTTATCTTCCTACAATGTAGTATACCCAGTTCTAGAAGCATTAGGCTGCCAAATCAGGTGTTGGAAAGCTAATTTGGACTCCGATGGTTCATAGGTTTGGATTTTACAACTGCTCTTGAAATCACACTGACCTTGCAAGCAATACAGATGTGTTCTCCTGGAGCGAGCCTGAGCTAAGAAACTTCACTGGATCATTACAGAGCCAACTGATAAAGCTCTGCTGCAGTGGAATGATTAATGCACCACCCATGAAAAGCTAATGATTGTCTGTAACTTAATTTCTTCTCTGCATCCTAACTAAAGCATCCAGTTCTACAGCAGTATAGGAATTAAATACATGCTTTAAAGTCAGTTTCATTGAAAGGCTTAGAATTTTGTGAAGTTGGATGAGTGAAAGTGTGATCACTTCTTGCCTGAAAACACACAGTTTTCAAATCCTGAGGTTTCGGGATGAGCTGGACTGCTAGCAGATCAATTGATTGCCTGCAGGGCTGAATAGAAGCTCTTGTGAGTTTTTGTAACTGGCATTGGCCTGTAATTCTTGACTTTGCACAAAGAGCAATTGTGTATGTGGATCTTCTGAATGTAACCTCAGGGGACTTCAGGGACTGGAGTGGATATGCTTGGTCATTTGAAAGAGTTTTTCTATTTCAGGCAATTTCATCAATACACTTCCCAAACTCCACTGGAAAGCAGAACACTTCATTTGATCCTACTACTGCTTTGAGTGAGTGTTTCCAGGATTTCACTGCTCTGGTACTAGAATTTTATTTTTTTTTTTTGCATTTCCAGAGTAAATTTATTCTTAGATAATTTATTCTACTTTCTTTTGAGCCAACAAAAGCCTTAGCCTAAGTACACTCTCTCTCATGTTGCTTAAGATTTCAGTATATAGAGAAAGAAGTCCTTTTCACCCTCCATTCTGTTAAAAGTGAGCTGTCTTGTGTAGAGACATGGAAAACTCTGTTCTCCATGTCTTCAAATGGTTTCTCTGTTGTCTTTCCAGTCAAATTAATCTTTCTTAAGAGTGGATAATCATAGATGTTGAGAGTGTTCTGGAGAGTATTTTACTCTAATTAGTCCTTGCTGTGAATGGACAATGAAAGCTAACAGTATCAGTTCTTTCCAGTAATACTTACTCAAAAAAGTAATCACACAGCTCTCAATAGCATTTTGTTTCTCTTTGAGATGAATCTTAAAACTGATTAATCCTAGGATACTTTCCCTTTCATTGAATTTAGTCTGCAGGGCCAGGAGTTGGATTCGATGGTTCTCGTGGGTCCCTTCCAGCTCAGGAGATTCTGTGATTCTGCTTTAACCAAAGCAAGGGAAGTAAACTGCATAGTTGTTCCCGAAGAATAGAAAAGAATACTGTGATCTTTGGTCACAAGGAAGTGTCTTCCCCATGTCACACTTTTGAGGGAAAATATCATCTATGCTATCCTTTTTGTCTCCAGTCCCTCCTTGTTAGTTAGTGGAAGCTGAAGATTTCCTCTGCAAAGACTTTCTTCCTGTCTCTTTTCCCAGAAGGGTGAATGTCATTATTTAGGAGCAGAGTTCTTTCACATGTCTGATGGTACAGATACATTCCAGAAGACATAAGAAAATACATCATCACCCTTTGCTCCTACAGGAGCAGGTGTGAAATGAGCACACTCTTAAATGAGTGTTCATTTACCTCAGCTGCACCATCTGTGAAGTGAAAGAGGTGATACTTACCTTGTGAACTCCTCCCCTACATGTTGTACTTTTTTTTTCCCCAGTAAATGTTGAATCTGCTTAAAGGAAAAGGTTAAGAGGTGGAAAAAAATGAGAGAGGATGAGACCTGCATGAGCTGCTTACCAAAGAGGCATCTACACATTGTGCTGGCCTTTAGCTGCCTGTTCCTGGAAGGGATGAAAGGCAAGGTCTCCTATTTATAGTCAGGTAGTTGCAGTGATGCTGAATAAAATCGTTGCTGCTCTGACTGTTTCAGTTTCAAGTACAGCAAATCAGTGCTGATAGCAGAATGCTTCGCCTACAAATAATTAACTGTACTTAAGCTGTCAGAAATGTTTTTCCATCTGCTTCCTTGAGCCATACTCTTCCTTTTGCACTAAGTCCCTGAGAAAGAAAGGAAAAGTTCTTCAACCTACACCTTAAAGAAACTGCTCTGAGGTTGTTATGATGTGGCACCGCTGTTGGGGTTGTGAGTAATCCGACTTTATTAGCGAGAGTATTAACAATCTATTGTTTTTCCTTTATCCATTCCATCTCCACACAGATATTTTTGCCAAAAAAATGTAAAAATCACAGCGCATGATCCAAAATCCTTGAATTTACAGATTATTTATTGTTTCCAATAGGAAACAAACAAAATGTTTCCATTTAATGCCCATTCCTCTAGAGCTACATGGGGAATAGGTTCACACTGAAAAGTCTCTAGATTTTTGTTGATGGAGATTTCATCCTTTAGATCTTGATACCACATCCATTTAACTGAATTATCTTCATGGAAAGGGAACCTGCATTTTTGAGGAAATAAGGGTACCATTTCAATGGTCATGCCAAACTACCACAGAAATTTATACCAACTTGGTAAAAATCAGGCTACATGGAAGTTGATAGAAATCTTACCTTTTGTTTCATGTGAGCCCCACTTAACACTGCACAATTTCTACAAAGAGGTTGGTGGAAATTAAAAATATAAAAAAACTCCAAACAAATACAATGTTTAGTTCATCAAAAATGTTACTGGATGTTAGATAAAGCTTGGGTTGCTGCAAATAGAGCAGGAGATGAAAAGGTCAAAATAAACCAAGAGTTGTTTTTTTTTGTTCTTTGGGAAGCAACAAATATTAGGCTACCATCCGTGCTCCACTGAACTTTACATTGGTGATCTCAGTCCAGATTCTTGCTCTGGTGAGTTTTTTGATCATCCATCACTCATGAGCACATTGTTCTGATTTATTTTTGTTCTGCTCAATAACGCAGTTGTAGGTGGGAAGGAAGGAAAATTCTCCCATGAAATACAATATTCCCCTTTTCTCCCAGAAAATGTGTGAGCATGCTGTTACAAAATCCTAATGATATGTTTCAGTGGTACGCCTCAACCAAAGAATGAAGTTCTTTGCTGCAGACAATATTTTGATGAAATTTAATAAACCACAGGTCTAGAAATATTTATTAGTACTTGCACACTTGAAGTAGTTATTTTATTACCTCTAATTGCTGGCCAACTTCCCATGTAAGAGAAAATATGCTTTTGTGACCCAACTCCATGACTTTCCATGTAGTCAAACTCTCAGAAGATCTCTGAGGAATGTAAAGTGCTTTTTAATTTTTTTTTTCTAATAATGAGACCCCATATTTGAGTAATATGTTATGGCAATGGAATAAAGCATTAAAAGCCAAAATGTCTTGTTTAGTCTAAATCTCAAAGAGATGTTGCTCCTTTTTTCCTATAAAGTATCCCTAATATCACCAGTCTCCTGACAGACCTGAAGAAATCTGCCTGTCCCACTATTCTGACAGTTTAATTTTTTTTAAACAGATTTGCAGCCACTGATCATTAATGTGAAACACTGACGGTAAAGAACAACTTTTACAGACCACCCCAAGATTTATGGAAATGTCTTAAATAACACAGAAGTCATCCAGTCTAACGGAATAGATCTCACCTGTGCATCCTAATATAAAGTTCCAAGCACTTAATAGTGCAAGTAATACATAGTGCAAGTCTTGTAGAACAAGCAAAGCAGGATTTGTCTCTGTGTTCCATAAGCTCTTGTGAGATGGAGGCATTTCTCTCTCTGAGTAGTGCCTGCTACTGCACAGCTGAAATTGGCAATTACGTGTCTAGATGGTATTATAGTCCTAAATAATGAATACTTTTTCTCACAGGAGGAAACAATGGAATTCAGTGGAATTAGTCAAAATGCATTTGTTCCACTGCCACCAAGATGGGTACCTGGCCCGGGCTGTTGCTGTGCCTCAGGGCCTACTGACAAATTGAAGTGTGCTTCAGCCTCTGAATGCATGTGTGCTGTAATTTGATGCTGCCAGAAAACACTAAAAGGTAAAGAATAGTAATCAG